CATTTATATTTAACGATATTTTTAAATAAAATAAATTTTAATAAACTATTTGTGTCACATTTTGATCATGTGTAACCAGTTTGAACGGTTTGAACGGTTCCAAAAACCAAACCAAAAAAAAACCAGGGGTTGGTTTCAAAACCAAGTTCAAACCGTTTATTAGCAAAACCGACCCATCTCTAATACTATAAAACTAAGGTAGATTTTCAAAAAAAATCTCATGTAATACAATGATTATTGTACAATAAATAAATAATGAAGCACACAGAAGAAAATTTAAGTGAACACCCTCTTGTTATTAAAATAATTGATTCAAAAACTGTGAGATGTAAGTGTGGTAAAGATGTTCATTTGGATAAGAAATGGGATCCTGATTTGCTTGAAAGACATAATAAAGGTGGTGGCTGTAAATATAATAATGGTTTATTAGGAATTACCAATTTTTTTAAAGAAAATGATAGTAAAACAAACAAAAGAAAAATTTGTGAAGGGTTAACTGATGAAGAAACAAGGAATTATCTTAAACGTGTTGGTTTAATAACATCTTTTGGTGGTGCACCTTGTGTAGAATTAGTTGCAAAAGAAATGTTTCCCAGAAAATTTAACAAAAAATTCACTTGGAATTGTTTAAATAAATCAGAAAAAGATATTTTAAATAATGCTTTGCGTGAAAAAGCATTGTGGATAAACAATAGTAATACATTTTGTGTTAGAAGCAATGAATGATTGTTCTAAATATATTGATAATAATTTAAAAAAAAATACCTGCAAACCTTGTCTTGATTTGAAAAAAAATCATGAATTTCAAGCAAGTATTTAATTTATAATTTATCATCTAATTTTTATTTAAAACTGATTACATTATTTTGTAGAATGAACTTTCCTGATGATCAAAATAGAAAATTTATCCAAAAATTCTTTATCAAAATAATTCTCTTTTTAAGTACTGCAATAACACCAATATATTAACTTTGTGGAGTTATCTTAATAAGCCTGAAGATAATACAAAGAATTTTTGGAATCATTTGGCTACTTTGGGAAACAATGGTGCTTTTGATAAAAAGAAGTATTTATTGGTCTATGTGAAATTTTTGTACAGGTTTCTACAAGAATCTTAGAAGGAAAGTCACTACAAAATATAAAATACCCTTCCCAATTTACAAATTTTTTAGCAATATTATCAAGTACTAGTCCACAAGCATATTGTTTGTTTCAAGAAAATCTTGCAGGAAGGTCATTAAGAAATCTCAGGTAAATATCTAAGTAAATTTAAATAAATATCAAGCTT